TTCAGTGCCTGGCTGCCGGCCGCCATCTTGGCTGACAGTTAATTTGCATATACTCACTGATTAGCCAATGAAAAGGGTAGCGGTCGTATGCCAATTACCATGTTTCTCTTTTATTAGTGTAGATGCTTAGGATTCTACTAGATACAGACTTTTTCTTTCTTAAGGAAATATTTTTATTAGAACCTGATACTTTGGTACACAAATTATGTATTTTAAACACGAAATGCTGTTACTTTTTAAAAAAATGGGTTTCAGATTGACTTATTTCATATTGATAATGAAATCATCTGATGATTTAAAAAGGAATACTGTTGTCTTGATCTTCTGGTTTCCACATCATTCCTAGATGCATTTTCACAAGATAATTAGTTCTAAGCAATCCTTACAGAACACTTATTATCAAAAGAGGCTTCTTCATTCCTGGAGAACGTTTAGGCCGGAGAGATGCCTACACGTCCTCTGTCATTTGGAAGTGCCACACTGAACCAGAAGTTTTCTGGAGCTCCCTTTCAGAACTCCATAATTTAGTGATCCAAGTCCAAAAACCTATGAATTTATTAAGATACTTTAGGAATGTTGCTCTGGCAGGAGAAGCAAGATAACTAACAGCTTTCGCTCTAGACGTTCACATGTCTACTTGATTTATTGATGTGAAATTAATTATAAACAGTTTACCTAACACTATTAGGCCAGAAAGAAATTAATGTGTAAGCATCAGAAGAGTTATTGAAGAGCCTCACTTCAAGGTCTGCTTTGGAAAAACAAATCTGTGTAGTGTATAATTAAAGCTATTCGTGATTTTCAGTATTTGAGAAGAGAAATGTGTTGAATGTAAATGAAAAGTCTGTTTTCTTTATAAATGGAGTCATAAAAATGTTGGGCTCATTTTTCAGTGGCAAAATGAAACTTGGGCAGGATTCCCTTAGGAAAAGCTACGACGATAAATGAACCATCTTTATGACAAAAGGTGAAAGGGCACAGTTCTATGTCTGCAACATGTTCTACATTATTGTACCTTTAAAAATCACTTAGAAAAAACAACATGCAAAACTGCCATCCAGGGAAAATCAGGATGGAAGAGTCCGCCTCCCATGAAGCACATTTACAATTACAGAATGCGATTCCATACAAACCTAGGGTACGCGAATGGATTCTTATCGATTATTATGTAATAGATTCATTTCTTTAAAAATTAAATCTTGAATAGAATTTCATAATAAAATGAATAAATTTTTTTTCATAAAAAAACTTTTTGCTCTTCTAAACAAAAGGCAGAAAATCCAAATGGCAGAATAAAACACTGATGGGCTGGGATGATATACTACATCACTCAATTGTCTGCACCTATTTCCAACACAGAAAATATTAAGAATTCTTTCCAGGAAAATTCAGAAGACAATTAATAATAATAAGTAGCATTATTATTATTATTATATATTATTAGTAATATATTAGGGAAGCAAGTATTCATTTTCTCAAATTTCTCCACAGAAAGGAAGAAAACTAAGAAAAATTTCTTCCTGATTGGGGTAGAAGAATATCCTCTTTGATAATTGGGAAGGACCAAGGAGCATTCAGAGTGAACTTGCATTTGAGAGAAAGAGTGCTGGCAAGGGCAGGTTCGAAATGCCCAGATCATCCCTAGGACAGGCCTGGACCACCATGCTGGGCATCTCAGGGCCTCAGAAATCATCCAGTGCCTCCCAGGCCCTCACTGTACAGGTGAGGCAATGCAAGTTCAGGGTGGGTCATTCCTCTGGTCCTCTTCTTTTGTGGAATTACTGCTGTTAACACAGGACGTTGGGTGGAAAGACCCATCCTACACAAACACTATGTGATACTGCAGCCTGCCGGAGCATGCTGGGAGCAGGGGAGAAGGCAGAAACCATGATTACATGGAATTTATTACTGTGATTTCCTTCAAATATTTTCTTAATGTAATATACTCATATACTGTAATTTTCTCTTCTGATGAAACCAAATATATAAAAGCTAATATGCAAAGTGTCCCCTCAGGAGTTCGACCAGGAGTTCGATCACTTGCTATGACATGCGCTGACCACCAGGGGACGGCGTGGAATGAAGGAAGGCCTTGGCCAGCAGCCAGGAAAGGGAGGCCCTGCCTGGCCACGCCCAGGCTGTGCTGTTAGCCAGTCTCCTGGGCCTCTCCGTGGGGTGGTCTGCCCCAGGGGTCCCCTTTCCTGTTCCTCACCACTTTCCTTGCTTTCTCTGGGAAGTGGAGTATGTCTCCCCCATGAATAAAATTATAAATGTGATTTGTAGAGCCTTTTTATTTTTGGTGAAATGTCTTTTTATGAGAAGAAGTACTTTATTCACATAATGTGACTATTTTTCCAAAACACAAAACCTGCACTCTCTCACCTCTCTCAACACAAAGAAAGGGGCCCTGAGGGGTTGTCCCGGGGTTGGTCATACCTGAGGATCTGGAACACCGTCAGCTTCTGCCGCAGGCACGTGCTTGTCACTGCTCTCCTCATCTTGTTCAATTGCTTAAATAAATAAAAAAGAACAATATTAAGCACATGCAGCATCCTCAGAAAACTGCGTCAGATCATTTTCTAGAGCAATTGGACAGGGAAAAATTGGTAGGTAGATTCACAACATGTAAATATGGGTACTATTACTTGGATAGAAAGTTTAGCCAGTGGAACTGGGCACTTTTCATATACATCTCATTTATTAAATCAAGGGCAATGGGAAACTTTGATCTCATTCTCCTTTTCACCAAAACCTATCAAGCAAGACATCATCATGCCAGTTTCATCCTTCACCCAACGGGGAGTTGGGGTGTAGATGAAGGCTTCTATGAAGTCCACGTGAGAACGTCATTTTAATGTGATTTTTTGGCTAAGGGTTCAGTGTTATATAATAAAGGAAGCACAGTATTGTATATTTGGGCTGCTCAGTGCACTGTGACCACAAACTTCTGAACCGTGAAGCCTTGAGTCCACCTCGTCTCCCACATTCTCCCAGCACCTCCCTATCCAAGTCCTCGTCTCCCTTTCTGTGCTGGTGCAATAACCTCCGACCACAAAGCCCCTGGTTCCAGCCTCTCCCTGATACAATCCAGCGGGGGCATACCTGCTAAAATAACCAATCTCAAAAAATGTAACAAGTGCCATGCTTTGGCCTGTGTATTGCTTATCTTATTGAGTCCGAACTCTGTTCATCATTGGAGGTCTACCTTGAACTCTCTAGCTTCCTCCTAATCTCCAACTTCACCCTGACATTCAACATCAAAACATATGGTACCCAACTCTGATGCAGGCGCAGTGATATCACTATTTTTCTCCTTATACAGCTTGCTCTTCCATTTTAACCAATATTTGTTGAGCATCTATGATATGCCTGGCACTGGGTTATCCCTGTGAACAAGACAGATACACCACTGACCTCATGAAATATACACACTAGCTGGGGAGATAGCCAATGAACAATAACCACTACTACAACTAATAATAACAACAACAACAATAATTGTAAAAAAAATACAATGGAATTAAAGATCATGATAAGTGGGAGAATGACAGAAAACCAGGTGGGAGAGGTCATCTGGAGAGGAGGCAAGGGGGGTGGGATGCTTCTCAGAAGAAGTGATATTTGGGCTGAGACCTGAAGGCTGAGATGGAGCCACCCATGGCAGGCGTGAGTGATGTGACAAGACAGTCCCGGAGAGAGTTCAGACCATAGCAAATTCAGATTCTAGCCTGAACATGGGGAAGCACTAAGAAATTTAACATTGGGAATTGCATGATTCAACGTATATTTTTTCGAAAGTGCTTTTTGCCTTCTTTGTGGAGAACAGACTTACGAGAGTCAAGACAGGAGGCAGAGAGACCAGTTAGGTGACTGTGCTCTCATCCTGGCTGGAGAGGACATAGGCTCAGACCAGGGAGGGGCAAGGAGCTGAAGAAACATGGAGGATTTGAGTTGTGTTTTTAGACAAAATGAACGCGATTTGCCGATGATTTGATTACGGGGGGTGGGGGCGGGTGGGAGTGAGGCGGGGAGAAGAAACAATCAAGGATGACTCCTAAGTAGAATGAGTTATTGCTCATATCCATCATACCATTAATTCTTTTTGTCCTCTCCATAAAAAGCAGACCCAAAAAAGCCCACCCAGACCAAAAACATACCAACCCTGCTGTCCGCGAGGTCACCCACTGCACTTCTGGATTCAGTCTTTGCATTATTTTATATACATTTAAATACGAAGCTTTCTGCTCTGTATTTCTAAAAATATCACCTCATGTACCTTTTGCTTTTCCCTGGCTCTTATGCCCACCTAAACATCGTGCACACAGGATGAGTTCTGCTACCACTGCTGGGATGAACAATTCCTCCCCAAGTGACCAAAATGGCATGGCTTGACTACACCTACTTACTAAGTCCTGCCTTTGGTACCTATTCATGAAAAAAGAGGGGAGGGAAATTCTGTTAAACTCCATGGATACCTAGGGTAACTCCCACCAGCTGAGCATCGAAAGGCATGAACAGTGAATGTGGGCAGAAGCTGTTCTGTTTCCAGCAAAAAGTTCCATTCATGCTCATTCAAAGGCCCCCTGTTGCTACTGTGGTCCGATTAGGAGGAAACTTAAGAATAAAGAAAAACACGTTTTCTCTGCAAAACTGGAGGAGAATACAAAGGAAAATATGAAATATAGAATAACATCCACTTAAAAATACATGGGCTGGAGAAGTAAGGAACTCCACCTAGTTCTACCTTGAACTAATATAAGAATTCTTTCCTCATCCCATAATGGGGGGTAATTTTCTTCGGGGGAGGGGGCAATCTGATGCTATACCCATGTGAGACAACTTCACCCACATGAAGTACCAGGAATACCTTGGCACTTAATTTATGCTTCATTTGAATTTTTGTTCCTTCAAGTTTAAGTGTCGATGAAAGTGAAGAAAATCAAATTTTGGATTTTTGGTAACCTATTAAGTTTATGTTTTTAAAACAACAATGCTCTGGGGTAGAGTCATTTCTTTTTCTTACCTTATTTTACTAAGAAACTAGTGACCCAGTGAGCAAAATTGCACGAGTCCTGGGGCGGGGCCAGTGCCGCGTGGGACTCCCCTGAGTCCCGGAGTTCCCCGATGCACCTCCTGGTCAAGACCCCGCCGGCGCCTGAGGGGACTCAGTGTCAAGTCCCTGCCCATCCATGTGCGCCTCGCCACGCATGCAGCCTCTTGGTGATTGGTCATTACGGTGTGACGGAGTCATGACCACGGGCTTTTTATAATATAGGATAGGACATGCAGAACAATGATAACAATGTCAGGATTGAGAGTTAACACTATCTTTTGAGTTTTAGGCAAAATTCTTTTTTTGGGGGTGGGGAGGGAGGGAGAGAGGGAGGGAGAGAGGGAGGGAGGGAGGGAGGGAGATAGAGAGAGAGAGAGAGAGAGAGAGAGAGAGAGAGAAATATCTATGTGAGAGAGACACATCAATTGGTTGCCTCCTGCACATGCCCCAACAGGGGCTGGGGACTGAACTTGCAACCCAGGTATCTGCCCTTGAGCAGGAATCGAGCCCGGGACCCTATGGTGGGTGGGCCAATGCTCTAACTAGCCAGGGTGCCCTTACTTTTTAAAGAACAGCAAAGATGTGAGCATTTTGAAGCACTTGTGATTATATTCCTGGTAACCAACATTGAACACCCTCTATCAGCATTTCCTGCCGCAAGCTTGTTTTTATGTCATCCCACAGGGGATGTACCGCCTGCTGAATGTGGGCGGTGTTGTTGTGGCGGGACCTCCTAAAACAAATATTATGGCCCTGCTCCAGGAATGGTACAAAAAAATAGCCGGCTATTTAGATAATGAGGAACTGGGTCCAGAAACACCTCTGTGTTTTCCTAACACGTTTGTGTCCACAACCCACAGAACAGGCAAAAGAGCCTGACCTGTACACAGCTCATCCACATTTGTGACACGTACTAGTGGCGATGCATTGATATTTAACATGTTTTATATTCTTTCTATTGCATTCTGTTCTATTTCATTAAAGACATGAACAGAAACACAGGTCCCACCCTAGCTGGTTTGGCTCAGTAGATAGAGCGTCGGCCCGCGGACTGAAGGGTCCCTCCCGGGTTCAAGGACATGTACCTCGGTTGCAGGCTCAACCCCTGGTGGGAGGCAACCAATCAGTGTGTCCCTCTCACATCATTGTTTCTCTCTCTGTGTCTCTCCCTTCCTTTCTACTCTGTCTAAAAATCACTGGAAGAAATATCCTTGGGTGAGGATTAACCAAAGAAAAAAGAAACGCAGGTCCACACCAATGGATGTGCAGTTTGACCAGCACTGTTCTGCTCCGTCCTGCACCAGGCAGACTTGACTGCCACAGATACACACATTTTATGTGGAGGACGGGGACAGGCTACAGAAGCTCATCTGTAGGCTGGGGGTGTTACCTGCCCGACTCGTGAGGTTGCGGGAACATCAGATGAGACCCCATATGAAAGCGCTTTCTCCCTGTAAATGCTGCACAGGCGAAAGGTTGTAGTATTGATGAAACTTTAATTCTTGGCAAAATATTCAACAGTTATTTTTCTTAACTATGTTTGCTGATTTCTCACATTGAGACTCGAAATGCTAACTGCCTGTCCAGAAATTTTTGGTTTGTAAATTTAAAAAAATAATAGTTTCGGTTGATTTTGAAAATAATAATTTCGGTTGTTAACAACTGTAGTCCCCCCAATGATTTGTAATCATTGTGTGTCTCATTGTTCGTGTGGCTCTTACTTGTACAAAGTTGATCGGCAGAAATTCAATAAGCATCACTTTGAAAGGACATTGATCCCATTTGCGTTTGAATGATATTATTAGTGGGGTTATTAGGAGAGCTTTCTTAGCAATCGCTTGGAAGTGGAAGGGAGAAAATACCTGTTGTCCTCAAGGCAACAAGAAAGTGATTTCGGGTGAGCCCTTCGGTTCTTGGAGGCTGTCAACTGTCCCGCCCCCTGCCCTGCTCGCGGCTGAGTTACCAATAGGGACATTTAAACTAAGAGCTCTTCTGTGAATTAGAGCTAATTAATCCACATACACTCTTAGTTCTCATGTAGGTTCTCACGTTCACTGCTCAAAATATGTGCTTTTTGATCTTGTGCTTATGACTTTTGTTGTGGTGAGTTATTTTCAAAGGCCTTTTCTTGCTTTTAGACTCTGTGTGTTGAGAGATAAGGAAATGGTTTGTGTTGGCAGAGTTAGGCTTCAAGCCTCCCAGGTCCCAGGAGCTGTCATTCCCGTGTACGTGTTCCCCTGGAGGGAACTGTCCCAGAATCAATATTTGCAGAGGAAATCTCTCCCAGCCCACTCTTATTCTGATCAGATAAAAGAAGAAAACTCAGCTCAGAAATCTAAATAACTGCTCCCTCCCCCTCCCACCACATGAGCTGCACCAGTAGGAGACATGGAGAGAGAAGCTGCCTCCTTAGTGATTCCTTGACATTAATCTTCGTACTAAAGGGTCACAGAGCAC